GAAAGTATGGCTTTGCGAAATAAATAATTTTCCTGTCATGATGATGAAGAATTATGATGACTACAGACACTTATATTGCTGTGTAAGACAATAATGAATTTTAATTCTTATTTGGCTAAGACTGAATTTGTTTTGCTTAATATTTATTTTTAATCAGAAACATATCAACATTAAAACCTACCTAATTGTAATTTTTAATACTTTTCATAGGATTCCCATAGAGGTTCTTCTTTGGCTGTACATAGAAAAATAGCCATTTTATTACCTTTTTTCTGAAAAATCACTTGATACTAATAAAATTAGCATAATTGTTAATCTTAGCTCATATTTATCTCATAGTCCATAATTTTAAATCTAGGAATAGAGAAAATTTAAGTAAACATTTTTTTTCTTAAAAAAAAAATACTTAAGGGGCACCTGGGTAGCTCAGTAGGTTTAAGCATCTGCCTTTGGCTCAGGACCCTGGGAGGTTTAGTATATAATAGTATGGATTATTTAGGGCTGCCATATTATGTACCACATATGCATGGACATATATTTATAAAGCAATGCCTATCAACAGTGGATACCTTTCATTTATTATTTCATTCATTCAACAGTGCTGATCTTCCCTCTGGCAACAGAACCCTACATCAGGGCTCCCTCATGAGGGAGTCTGCTTCTCCCTCTCCTGCTCCTGCCTCCGCGCATTCTCTCTCTCTTTCTGTCTCTCTCTCTCTCGTACTCTCTCTCTAATAAATGAATAAAATCTTAAAAAAAAAAACAATACTTAGGCACATGATCACTATTGAAATGGGTTTAGGTGCGAATGGGAATCCTCCAACATAGAACAGAGACCTATCTTTCAAGAATGTCTGATAGTAAAGAGCAGGATTCTTACAGAACAAAAATGTGAAAGACATTTAGATAAATATAATCATTGTGTCTCAAAGATTTTCTTACTCCTTCTCCTTCCAGTTAGGTTTTGTGTCTACTGTGTAGTCTTCATGTACTTATGTACCAGCACTTTTAAGACTTCACTGCCCTAAAAAAAAAAAAAAAAAAAAAAAAAAAAAGACTTCACTGCCCTGTTACATTTACATATCTTTTTCTACACCCAATCTTAAAGTTCCATAAAGGCAGGAGCAGCATCATATATATCCTTTATCTCTAACTCCCAACAGAGGACCCGGACCACTCAGTAAGCATTCCATAAAAGATTGAATTGATGGTAGCAACTTTAGAGCATAGTTCTGAGAACTGACTTGTAGCTGTCAACAGTATATCTATTTAGTTGGTGTATGTGACACCATATAATTTATATGCTAATTAGAATCCAGGCCTTTTTTTTTAATTCCTCTCAATTTTCCACCCTTTTTTGCTCTCCCGTACCCCACCCAGTATTCAGTAGCCCACCATTTCCAAGTTTCCACACTGGTGCCTCACCTCTTGGTTCTGACCTGACATATAAAATGACATATAAAATGGAACCTGAACTAGAACTCTACTTTTTCTGAGATATTATGCAAATTGATTAATTTTTCTTTTTGTCTCACTTTATTCTTTTCAGAGAGTTTGTTTCCTATTTGTGTCCATGTTAGATTAAGTGTGAAAATAGATACATTTTTTTTAATTCTTCAAGGAAAAAAGTATAAATCTGAGAGGTTTTTCATTTCCTTGGGTCAAAAGTAAAAATTAAGTGACATATTCCCTCTGCTAGGCTATTAAGTATTTATATTTTTAAATTTGGAATTTAATTAACTTTTATATTTATATTTTCTTTAATTCATTAATTTAATTTCTAGGATCAGTAACCTTATACAGAATTATTACTATCTAAAATTAGGAAGTGCTACTATAAATATTAATATGCAATAATTAATGTCTTCTCTTAAATCATAACACACCTTTACATAGTTATATGTGGATAAATGTAAGTTCTACCAACAAAACTTTGGAACCACAACACTATTTATAAAATAGCAGTTATGGTGACAGTACTTTATATAAAATCATTTCAAATAGTTAAAACTAAAATCCAGGGACTAGTACTTACTATATGAAGATATCTTTTTTTTTTTTTTTTGTGGGCTGACAGTAATTCTAATTAGAAGGACATCTTTAATATAAAGATAGATGGCATGATGTCATTTTTCAATTTCCAAAGAGATTTTTTTGGAAGATGTTTACTGATATGAGAGGTTCACACACCATTTCTGAACTATATGTTATTTCAGAATTTTTGAATATTGAAAGAAGAAAAATGAAAAAGGGTAAAGCAAGAAAAGAGAAGACAAATGTCTAATAGAAGTGCTGTGCACACGTTTGCAAGTTCTTTTGATTTTTTTATGATAGTCACAGAGAGAGAGAGAGAGAGAGCAGAGACATAGGCAGAGGGAGAAGCAGGCTCCATGCACCGGGAGCCCAATGTGGGATTCGATCCAGGGTCTCCAGGATCGCGCCCTGGGCCAAAGGCAGGCGCCGAACCGCTGCGCCACCCAGGGATCTCTGCAAGTTCTTTTGAAAGGATAGAACTAATACTAGACTTTAAGAAAAAAAAGCTGTGGAGATGCAGTAAATATAGTAGGAGACTGATGTGGAGTATAGTAGAAATTACTATCATTTTCATGCATCTCATAGAAGCTTTAGGTGATTTTAGGATGGATGTTGTGTATTTATATATTTCATTTCTTTTTATTGTCAGTCTATAGGAGCATTCCCATAGTTAACCCTTCATGTGTTCTTTTCTTCTTGGTTTATAATCATGCAGGTAATCATAATATTGGGCAAAAACAATAGTGATGTTAAAATTTTAAATAATTTATTTTATTATTTTTTTAAAGATTTTTATTTTATTTATTCATAGAGACAGAGAGAGAGAGAGAGAGAGGCAGAGACACAGGCAGAGGGAGAAGCAGGCACCACACAGAGAGCCTGACGTGGGACTCGATCCCGGGTGTCCAGAATCACGCCCTGGGCTGCAGGCGGCACTAAACCGCTGCGCCACCGGGGCTGGCCCAATTTTAAATAATTTAAAAACAACTCTTTTAAAAGTTATGGTTAATATATTTCTCTTCATAAAAATTATGTTAAAACATAAGAATTAAATTAAAAACTACAGTTTGCCATATATAAATGTTTTCAACTATATAAAAAATGTTCTGATTTTGAAAAGAAGTACTTATTTATAAAATATATTTAACAGTCAGATATTTAAAATCTTAAAAGTAAATTTTCTCAATACTTCGTGTGTGCAGGATAAAATGTAAGGATGTTTCTAATTTATCTTTATAATTAGTGTAAGAAGTAATCATGGTTAAACTTTCTAATTGTAATACTTTAACATACTGCAGTATTTTAGACAAATAATTTTCTACAAAAAAGTCTATGAACAAAATTAACATGTTTTAAAAAATTATTTCTCAGCCTGCTTCTTGGAACTGAATGCACCTAATCAGGAATATGAAGGATATATTTGACATTCCTAAGAAATGTTTCTAGAAAACTCAGCTTGTTTTCAATAAAATGAAATTATTTTGTAGACAAATTAGAATGAAACAAAATCTCATTCCTATAAACTGTATGTGTGAAAAGAAAAGTTGGGTGTGTGTGTGTACATGAGTGTTAATACATGTAAACATATTTATGAGGTGACCCAGTCTAGAATTTGAATTTATACTCTGACTGCTTGCTCCTTTCAAGAGCACAATTGCTAGAAATGCATGGTGGCATTTCTTTAATATATTTTTACCCAGATCTGTGTTTTCAAGATAACATGACAATACTTGCTAAAAACGAGCTAATGCATTATTTCAGAGAATATCTCTACCACATCCCTGCTCACATTTCAACAAGTTGCTTCAACCTGCCCATTTTAATATCTAGAACAAGGAAAGCAGTCCCTTCAGTGCTTTGCCAGTGTCACAACACTCACAGTTTTTTATCTACCTGGAGAGTCATAAAACAGTGCCTGTGTATCTTTGTGCTGCCAAAATAAAATTTTTAATATTTATATTTTAATTTTAGGGTTTATAGAAAATATCATACTGATTTTATACTTTTTACAATAGTATTTGATTGTAATTAAATAAAATAGGCTAGGTTTTGGGGATGTATGTTTCAATACAAATTAGCTAAAATGCCTTTCTATTCATATGGTCACATTGCATCATTGTAATTATTCCTGTGACTTCAGTAATTTTTTAGTAACCTTTGATAATATAACGGTGATCCCTATTTTTTTAAAATGTAGCTGTGACTGCCAAAAAAGAGAATTACCTATCTAAGATAGTCTTTTTACAAATTTAAATAGAACATCCAGGTAATATCATTCCCAGATCATTCTTCACCTACCTTAAGTGATTGAAATTTTTTATATTAATTATTTAGAAATAGCTGTTATTTTTATGAAGTTCCATATTCTGTGCCAGTTTAGTTGAAAAATCAAAAATACTACTAGCAATAATTTTGTTGATCTCTGAAAATATTAGTCACGAAACAAGTAAGGCTTGAATAACACAAAAATTGCTAGGTGGTAAGGAACATGAAATTAATTTTCTGAAGGGACTCAAGCTAGAACTTTACTACTTTTATCTTTACAAACTTTGTATTATAATCCAGCACTCTTTGTTTTTATAGGTTTTAGATCGAAGGTATTAAAGCTACAATAGGTTAAGAATATCAACAGTGTTTTTATTTTGGAGCTATATAAAAATGTTACCATTGATGTATAGTTATGATACCTTTTTAAAAAGTAATTTCTTATAACTTCTACTACAATGCACAAAGACTCCAGGAAATTTTTTAATAATTTTAAGCTGAAAATTGCTTTTCAGAAATTCTGATTTACAAGATAATTGTATTAAAATGTGATAAAAGTCACTTTAGAAGTTGTGATATTTCTCTTTCATAACTTATGTTTAAACTAATTTTCAATTTATTATTTTTTTAGGATAGCAAAGTATTATAATGTATATGTGCAAAACAGAAGTATTATTTATACGTATTTTTTTTAATTACAGGTAAAGATTATAGTTCCCAACAGCACAGCAGGTCTGATTATAGGGAAGGGAGGTGCTACTGTGAAGGCTATAATGGAGCAGTCAGGGGCTTGGGTGCAGCTTTCCCAGAAACCTGATGGGATCAACTTGCAAGAGAGGGTTGTCACTGTGAGTGGAGAACCTGAACAAAACCGAAAAGCTGTTGAACTTATCATCCAGAAGATACAAGAGGATCCACAGAGTGGCAGCTGTCTCAATATCAGTTATGCCAATGTTACAGGTCCAGTGGCAAATTCCAATCCAACCGGATCTCCTTATGCAAACACTGCTGAAGTGTTACCAACTGCTGCCGCAGCCGCAGGGCTATTAGGACATGCTAACCTTGCTGGCGTTGCAGCCTTTCCAGCAGTCTTATCTGGCTTCACAGGCAATGACCTGGTGGCCATCACCTCTGCACTTAATACTTTAGCCAGCTACGGATATAATCTCAACACTTTAGGTTTAGGTCTCAGTCAAGCAGCAGCAACAGGGGCCTTGGCTGCAGCAGCTGCCAGCGCCAACCCAGCAGCAGCAGCAGCCAATTTGTTGGCCACCTATGCCAGTGAAGCCTCAGCCAGTGGCAGCACAGCTGGTGGTACGGCGGGGACATTTGCATTAGGTAGCCTGGCTGCTGCTACTGCTGCAACCAATGGATATTTTGGAGCTGCTTCTCCCCTAGCTGCCAGTGCCATTCTAGGAACAGAAAAATCCACAGATGGATCAAAGGATGTAGTTGAAATAGCAGTGCCAGAAAACTTAGTTGGTGCAATACTTGGCAAAGGAGGGAAAACATTAGTGGAATACCAGGAGTTGACTGGTGCAAGGATACAGATCTCCAAAAAAGGAGAATTCGTACCTGGCACAAGGAATCGGAAGGTAACCATTACTGGAACACCAGCTGCAACACAGGCTGCTCAGTATTTAATTACACAAAGGATCACATATGAGCAAGGAGTGCGGGCTGCCAATCCTCAGAAAGTGGGTTGAGTGCCCCAATTATACATCAGATTGTTTTAACCCCTCCTTTACCCCATTTTCAAGAAGGATGTACTGTACTTTGCAGAAGTGAAGTTTTTCTGTTATTAATATATAATTATGCAAATGAATGCGACTATGTTGACAATGTGTATATGTAAATAATATGTGTTTTACCAGATGTTTCATAGAAGGAATTTTTTCTTGATCTGTTTTGTTCTCTATACTTTGCTTGTGTATATTTGTCAGAGGTGTTTCTAGTGTAAGATTTAAGCCTGCCATTTTACCAGCATTATTGTAGTTTAATGATTGAATGTAGACAGGGATATGCGTATAGTTTTCAGTATTAGTTCTAGATAACACTAAATTAACTACTGTTAGGTTGAGTATGGTGGGGTCAGTGACCTAAAATGGAGTGAGGCCAAAGCACTGTCATGTAAGTCTTACTTCCTGCTTAGGGCACAGTGAAGTAGGAAACAATATTTTGAAAATAAGTTTTAAATTTAAAATGATCAAAAAGCAATATAGTTGCATAAAAGCACTGTAAAATATTTAAAAGGTTAAAACTGTGGAAAATTATATTGGTAAGTTTACAGATCAATAAAAGCACCTGTTCTCCATCTGAACTAGACAATGGAAATAATGCTGCATGCTGGCCATGGCCCATTCTTCATCATTTGTAAGTTCAACAAAAGTTCTCACATGGAGTCCCACCTCTTCAGAGGTTTGTACATTTGTTTTTAAGCACTGAATTCACTACTGATCCCATCGCCTGGCCAGTAGAACAGTCATTACTCCATTAACATCCTCACTGTTTAGACACATAACTGTGGTACAGTGTATTGGAAATTTTATAAACAAAAGTGAAAGTGCCAACAAATTATTGATAGCTGATAATGTTTCATTATCTGCAACTGCTTGATAAGTATGTTGCATTTTAAGAGCTTATAATTGTGTATAATTTGTTAACACTAGAAACCTATTAGTATTGTGAATGTAGATTTTACTGTGAAGCTATCTGTGATTTAGCTGTTTGCTCCCATGATGGAGTCTTTGCAGCATGGCGCTAGCAGCCAATGCAGTTTCTAATACTCGGTAATTTGCATGTTTTGTGGAGCATTTTTATGTCACCAACCAGACAGTATTTCCTGCATGCTTATTTAGAAGAGGCAGTTTATCTTGAGAGGTAGTGTGATCTACCTTTGTCAGGCTTTTTGACAGGTCATTTCAAAGTAAGCCTTTGTTCCCAAGACCCAACAACTGTCACCCTCTTCTGTACCTCTCCTGAGTGCCAACTGTCCAGGCCATTTGACACACCATCTGTTAACCTCTGAGTTTGCCCACTCAAGGCCACTCATAGGGGCATCCATCCCCAAGCACCTCCTCATGCTGTGCATGCAGTCTTAAATTCAATGGACAAAAATAAAATGCTGGCTACCTCTGGATCATCTGGCTGAGCAACTGAATTACAAAAGAGAATTACTTCCATCTCAACTTCAACCCATTGATTACGTCCATCCTAGCAAGCTAAATGGCATCCCAGCTGCTCCTTTCTGTGCAACCAATTAAAGAACAATGAGTGTGATGCTCCATGTCTGAATTTCGTCCAGCCTCTCTCTGAACTGTGATCTTTGTCCTCATGAACTTTCCCTTTTGTTCATTGAACTATATGGACTCTTCATTTCATATTGATTTACTGTGCAATTTACTTTTGGACATTGAGAACTTGAAATTATTTCCTGATCCCTTCCCCTTCCACTATTAATAATTCATTTCTGTCAAACTGTAAGAGTAGATTCATTTTTTTTTTAGTTTTTAACATTGGACTGTTATTTCATTTAGAGTTCTCTATCTCTAAATATTTATTTAGAGAATGATTTTAAAAGGGAATGATATGCTTGTTTAAATGAAAGAGAAAAGCTGTAGTAAACTGTGTTAATTGGTAATGACTATTTATCGTCGATACTCTGTAGCTGTGTAAGTTTTGACAAATAGTGTATCTCGTGGAATCAGTGGTTAGCATTGCCGCTATTATATTTACTCATTTTATCATTATAAATGTGCTTAGTTCATCATGTAGCATCACTTGTCTCCCGTCTCATTTTTTCCTTGCATGTCACAAGTCTCAGATCATTTATAATACATTAACAGTAAATAATATCTATGTAAATTTCTTTCACCATGCTGTCTCAGAGTCAGCAGTGAACAAAGGCAAAGATTGGGGCCCCACTTAGTTGAAAAAGAGAAAGGAAGTGATCTAGGATGTGTATTAGAAGCATTTCAAATGTTGGGTCTTTAAAATGTTTTGTTCAGTCTTAGCAAATCTTCAACCTTTTATTTCAAAATTCCAGTAGTCCACTGTGGAGCCCATGCATTTCATCTGGAATTTAATGTTACTTTGAAGCCAAACCATTTAAACAATTATGTGTATTTTATTAGCTAGTATTGCTAAAAATGCACTCAGTTCGATTTTAATTGTAAATGGGAATTTTAAACTTTTGCTAGTTGGCATGGTTATATGTTAGTTAAATCTGAAAGCTAAATTGAAGATATTTACATTTTAATTTATGGTAACAGATAAGGGTTTGTGTGCATTATGTGTAAGTCAGCTTCATGCTGTCTAAAAACTTATTCTCTGAAATTTATAGACCATGTAGAATTGATTTGTGATGTGATGCTTTAATTTACTGGAAGAAAATTAGTATGGCTTCAAACTGCCACAGGTAGGCATGTAACAATGGCTGTTCAGCTATACTGATCCAAAATGGAGAAAACTGATGATACAAGGGCCAAACATCTTATGAAATGCAACTATTTATAGACTTGTTTTGCTATAGGGAGGCTGGTGAACATGCTGAATACGAATTACCTCAGTTCTGCAGCTTTCTATGTCTTTTTAATGCATTCTGTTTCAGGGTCACTTTCAATCAATATTTCATTTACTTACTGAGATTGAATGGGCGCTCTGAGACACAGTGTGCTGTTTATCATACAGATTGGACACCTCATTCTAGATCCAAGATCTTTTCCTCAACACTGGGAGCTGTCCTTTCAGCACCACAAAATTACTGCTTGAAGTTGCATTGCAGTTTTTTTTTTTTCCTTTATCACTGGGAGCTTTTCTTTCAGCACCACAACATTGCACCTAGACTTTTTAAAACGGCTGCCTTCCTCTTTGCACTGAAGACCAATTTCGTCTGCACTTCCAGTTATCGCTATTACCTGTAGGACTTTCAATCCTACTTCACCTCACCCACCCCACTCCTGAAACAGTTAAATGTATCTATTTCTGTGGAAGTCATTTTCTCATTGAATGATCAGAAACAAAGATAAATTCTAACCTGTAACGGCTCATTTCGACTCATTGCTTACAATAGATCTAAGCTCTTTTTTCTGCTTATTCGACTCCTTCCAGCTTCCCATCACATCTGTAACAAACTTTTAAAATTATATTGCCACACCACCATGCACAGCCTACCTGCACAGTAGAGATAGATTATTCCATCGTATTCAGATGGTTAACAGAGGTTAGCAAGTCCTGTATTATATATTTATATCGCTTTCTAAGAAAGTGCATATTAATGTTTACTTTAAGAATGTGTAAATGGTGCTATCAAGAATCTGATAAATTTTATCCCAGTTTTTTGTGTACCACTTCTAATGTATGAGATTTATTTTTCTATTGGAAAAAAATAAACAGTATGAAAGCATTAAATTGGTAGATTTTAGTAATTTAACAATGAATGGAATCACTATGTTACAGGCCCTATCTTTCCTTGGAAATTTTAATGGTGGTAATAGATTTCAACAAAGGTACTGATAATCACATTTTTTTAATCCATTCTTATATTGCATTCTTGATTCATGTGCTGATTCCTCACTGAGTCCTTAAGTAAATTTTACTTACTGTAAGTCTTCTCCAAGAAGGGAATTCTTGCTTTCCAAGGCAGCAATTGAAAAGAATGAAAATATAATTTAATACTCTTTACATCACAGACACGATTTGAGAGCAGTTACTCTGTTAGTAGGAGAAATTCATCACTCATTAAATACAGGGCAAGCATGGCTATCCATAATAATTTTGGGTGCAATGCAGTCTTAGAAATTTAATGTACACACTTTATTTAAATGATGCAAACAGCCATATGAAATTGCACATGATTAGAAAGCAGAATGAATTCATTTTGCCTCCTGCTTGGTTTCTCATAAACATGAATACATAATATTGTTATGCACTGTTGTTCATAGATGTCTTATTACATAAAGGGTAAGTATCGTTACTTTAACAGATTATTTTTGGAATTCTGCATGTTATTTTTTGTTTCATCAGATATGTGCCCCAATAAAATAACATTTTTTCCAAAAAAATGAAAGTATTAGAAAACTTGTCATGTTAATTTTGAAAAAAATGAAGTGTAGTACATATTACTAGGTAGGATGTCATTCCACTGGTCTATATATTAAAAAAAACTGTTCTTGAAAATTGAAGCATTACCTTGTGTAATTAATAAAGTAATCAAATCAGATTTGTAAATAAAATATTGTTTAAATCTAAAGTATTCAATATTTTGATTAGATTATTTTTTTAAGGAAAAATATTTAACGTGTATGTGCCGAATTTTTTTTTAAATAGTTTTTTATAATTGAAATGGAAGGGCAATTGTCTCATTACAAGTGGTACAGAAGCCAATACTTGGGTTACCATAGATATATAAACAAGTAAAAACTGTGGAACAAGTTTTAAGCTCATTTTGGAAAAAAAAAACAGTTCTGTAGAAATGCATATTTGTATTTGTTTCTCTAATAAATCTGCAAATAGCTTTAAACACAAATTAGTTTTAATTATTTAAATTATGAGTTCTCTTAAGTAATTTAACATCTGTTTTGCCTTACATTTGTGAAAACATTGTCTCATGGAAATTAATAGAGCTTATTGTGAAAAATCAAGGTAGGTCTGCATTTATTTGAAAAGGTCAGGTATTTAGCATTCAAGTATGTTTACCTCTATGAAATGATTAAAGAATTTTTACAAAAAGACACACTTCTCCACCCCTCCCCCGTCACATCAGTTTGGCCACTGCCCAAAACTAAAAGGCCAATTTGTATCAGCTTTAGTTCAGTATCAAAGAAAAGAACAAAAAATAAGTAAAATCACATGTTGAAATGGTTGATAATAAAAAGATTATTTGATATAGATAATTGACTTATTTTTATATAGTAAGGAAGAAATTTGAATTCTTCTGAACCGCAGTGTCTCCATCTTCTTTAATGTGATTTACACATTATGATTGAAATTGTTATATAAATTACATATATTTCCCTTGCATTGTGACCTTATAATAATTTATGTTGAAAATGTTTTAGGATAAAATACAGTTTCTATTTCTGTTATTAAATAATGTAGAGTCCCCATTTTTAAAACAGCCTTGTCGATAAGTATACTAAATATATATATACACACACACACACATATGTATTTTTATATATATATATATTTTTAAAGATTTCATTTATTTATTCATGAGAAACACAGAGAGGAGAGAGAGAGGCAGAGACACAGGCAGAGGGAGAAGCAGGCTCCATGCAGGGAGCCCAATGTGGGACTTGATCCCGGGACTCCAGGATCACGCCCTGGGCTGAAGGCGACACTAAACCACTGAGCCACCCAGGCTGCCCTATATATATTTTTTAAATTGTCATTCTGGTTGGGCAGAAATGCTAAGGTTTTGTTTAAGGACTCAATTGAGTATTCCAATACTGTTGAACTACAAAGAGCCTTCAAATTATAATGAAGTCATTTACTCTACAAATTTAATTGTATTCATGAAATGTTTTGGGAGATCTGGCTTATGAAAACTTAAGGCATTTTCTAAGATTGTCATTCATTGGCTTATCCATTTTTATAGCTTTTGATCAATAGCAAAAATAGTGTTTCTGTCGATATTTGAGATGGTGGGTAATTATATCTTTTTTTTTCTTGAAAGAAATTATTGTAACCTAAATTTCAAAATTACTTCTCAAAATTTCCACACTTTTAATGTTATATAACTTTTTAAATAATATATATCAAGTCTTTAATACATAAAGTAATGTATTAACAATATTTTAATATATATTTACCAAAACATCTTGGATAGATTTTATTATTTTCTGTTATTTACATATTTTAATTGCCTATTTTACAATATAAATGCTTAAAAAGGTTCTGATTGAATATACTTGTAGTGAGACCAATCCACATGCTGGGATTGTTTATTGTAAAATAAACCACTGCTTTTAGAGTTTAAAGCAGAGACAAGAAACAAATTGTAATGTTTTAAAAATAATAGTTGGGTACAAATTAACATACCTCATTGTGAAAAAGAAAACCAAACAAACTATTTTGAATCTAATAAATCAAAGCCTAACCACCATATTGTCCAAAACATCTTAGAATAAAAAGTAAAAACTCCCCAGTCAGTTCAATACAGGATGCATTTTGTGGGGTTCAAGTCCTTAGTAAAAAGTATTTGCTAATAAATTCACCACTTAGGTGACACTACTCTTAGAAGTTCTTAACATTTCTAATGTACATCAAGATTATATGTGGGATTCTTTTTTGGAGTGGGGGATATTTACACATAGGCAAATAGAGGATAGAAGCAATTATCAGAACTATTTGCATTCAAACTACTTGTTTTATAAAAAATTGTTTGGAAAGCCAAATTCTCAATTAGCTAGTTTCAATGAAATTTCCCCTTTGCTTTGTCAGTAGATAAAAAACCTTTGAGGTTGAGCTTCCTCTTAAGTTTGATTTTATGAATTCTAGAAAATGTTACTTGTGTATACACTACAAAGACTTAATCTAAATTAGAGAACTTTATAAAATTTATTTTTTATATTCAAAATCATGAAACATTTTACACCTAGCAGATAGTTAAATATAACTATTGTTCATTATCTTAAGAACATGCTTATAATTTCAAAGCTTTAAATTATCACCAATGTTGTTATTTTTTAACAAAAATTCAGTGAAATTTTAAAACCTTAAGATTTTTTTAAAAATTTTATTGTTACCTGTCCTATTTAGGAACTACTTCATTTAAGATAATTTAATTGAATAGCTTTTTAAAAAGCGTACTTACATTTCTTTTCATTGGCTTCTCAATTTGTTTTTAGTTCATGCACTAACTTTTATTATTTACAATAGTTTTCTCTAGCTATTAGAGATATTTGAAGGTTGGGTAAATGATTATAATGATGCTTCTTTAAGACTTTCTGGAAAGAATAATAGGTACTGATGGATCCAGTCATCATCAGTATGCTGGTAAATATTGAATCTGTTAGGCATTAGTCTTCATGTGGATTTTTTCATTGTGAACGAAGTCAAGTATTCTAGATACTTAACTCAGACAAAAATGGGGGAAGGGGTGTAAGAAGGCAAAGCACTGGAGAACCAGGCTTTTGAAGAGTGGCAGAATAATCAAATCAGAGATCCCTGAGCTAACCAAGGATACCGCATCCTGAGACCTTAGGCATACAGAGGTTGATGACGATGTAAGGTTATCTCTGTTACGCATCTTCATATTTTGTGGATTTGCACAAATATGTCTTGAGTATTACTTTCAAATCATTACTATATTGATAGGTCTCCTATAGTGAAAAGCAAAGATAAACAATAATTAAATTACCAATGAAGTGGCATGTGGAATGTAATGGTACAGAAAAAACATGTTATTACATTATATTGGTAGTACTGCCCAGGTGTCTTCATTATATCAAATATTTACAGATTTACACACACTTTTTTTAATTTTCTTTCTTCATTCATCACTTTTTCTCATGCATCACTTTTTATCCTAGCATGATGAAATCCTGGAGAAGAGAAACCTACACCCACCAATTTTTAAATTTTAAGCACAGTATTATATTTAAGAGCACAAAAATGACAAAAAAGTACAGATACAAAACCCCTGTTTTTCTGAATAGTATGTTATAACAATTGTGAATATATATTCTGTATATACTGATTCTGATTTGGAACTGAGAATACATTATTTTCACTAACAATAAAAATGTCATTACTGGTCTGTGGTAAAATAGTAAGAGTGGTGTAACTAAGTGTATCATGCCTCTTTTATATCATTTCAAATGTTTAAGACAAAGTTACATCTAAAACCTTATATTATAATATTTTCCTTATTAGTACAAGCTCTATTGCCATTAATTCTTAAGTATATTTAAAAGGGTGAACTTCTAAAATTAAATAAAAAGGAGACCATTTTTCTCCCAAGTATTATTAGGACAAGTATTTTCAGAAATTATTTCCCAATATGTGATGAGATTGTAATAACTAATGTTTATGTTATTTTCTGTCATATACATAACACACTTTTATTCTTTATTTAATTCTCACAATATTATAAGGTATCGATATTAATTTTATCCCTGTATCTTAGAAAATGGAATAATATAAATCACTGAGCCTCAAGCCACTAGGATCAAATTAATAAATTGAGGATATATCCCATTTTACTGAGAATATAAAGGTTTTGAATTTATAAATTAAAATCATAAAATGTTCTAGAATATTTTAAAATATAACTTTAACACAAGCTGTGTTTTTGTTTCCAAAAAATTTCAATAGTCTGAAATTTCAGAACCATAGCTTTCATAGAAAGCAAAAAAAAAAAAAAAAAAAAAACTAGTAAGCATGTTTCCATTTAAATTGTACCTTTAAGGCTGTTACAGTATATGTTGCCTCTTTGGTATACCTTAAGTGGAGAAGTAAAGCCATAAGCCTTATGAGAACTAAAGCATTTTATGGAAATAACACATTTAAATAATTGGAATAACATCATAGGAACATATGGAATTATTTGGGATAAATGTGTATCTCTTCTTCTGTCCAATGCATGATTAATTTTGTGACCCTAGAGAAAATTCAGATTTCATTTTGAGTGCTTACAAAATGCAATTTACTACAGAGTTTCAAAACTATTTCTAAGTGCTATTGTTGGTCAACTGTGCTCTTAGACGTTTTTTTAAAAAAAGTTTTTCACTTAGTCTATTTTTTCAATTAAAAACAAATTATTTCAAGTTATCAAAGAATGCATATGATATAGAAGAATCAAATGATGGAAAATTTAATAACATTTACATGGATAATTTATCTTCCAAACCCGTGGGGAGGAAAGTGAGTTATTAATATATTCGGAAGGTGCTTTATTTCGGAAGTACACATTTTCAAGCCAAAAGAATTAATGTTAATTAGTTAATATTAACCCATATTAATATTAAATTGAATAAATAGCACATATGGAAAAATAAATGGAGGTTATATCTCAATTTCTTTCGATACATGAAGATACCAGTTTCCTGACAATTCTGTTGGGAATTTATATTTTCAAGTATTCATCTATAAGAAGCATTTTGTCATATTTTTAAAATTTATTAAATTCTTGTGTACTAAATTATACACATTATTGTATAAAATACATTACTAATGTGTTTCTATAATTTAAAAAGTTACATGTTATAAAAAGTTCAGGAATGACATGAGAGACTAGTTTTAAAATATGAGCAAGATCTAAAGGAAATTTTTTTAAGTTCTGCAATAATAATTCTTGGTCTATCATTTGTTGTCCTTTCTCTTTCTGAGAGTCAGGAAAGTTAAAAATATGTGGCAATTTCCATAGGTGGTATAAACTGAACATTAATATAATGTTCGCAATTTTTTCTAGTATCCTTACTCATCAAATGCATTCTTTATATATTTCATCTTTCCTTACGTACTGGATTATCAAAACACTTCTGAGAACTGAAT